TACTGTCTATAGTTTACGCGAGTAGTACACATTTAAATAAAACACTTTAACGGTTTAAAACGCGATATATTAGTTAAACTATCTCCCCGTGACCACGGCTGCTGCAAAGCATCCGAAACGTCGGGCCGAAGTTAAAAATCATTTTCAAATAGTTTAACTAGTATATCGCGTTTTAAACTGTTAAAGTGTTTTATTTAACTGTAAACGTGTTTTAAAGATTTAAGCATAGATAGGGACAGAAAAGTAACTTTGTTTTATACTAGTGAAGATCGCACGATTAAAAAGAAGCTTAGCGGAAGAATTGAGAAGAGTAAAAATGTCTGCCACAAACACCAAGTAAGGGACTGAAGAGTTCAACTATCTCACTTTTTATCATGTATTGATTCCTCTCCACTTAACTTTGACATAATACCGCCCGCCCTGAGAATGAAAAATATTTAGGGCGGGCGGGTGCCGCCGGCGTTATGTAGCAAAGTTAAAAGTTACGACGGGACAACAGCGCTTATATTTAAAAATGCAACAGCTATAGCACCTGTGAACTTGCCTAATGGCTTTTTAAAGGGTTTTAAATTTTGCTTTTAATTTCTTCTATTATATCAATTTTATTGGACACAAAAATGTGTCATACATACAAGTATCTGTATGTCTGTCTGTAAGTCATTTACCCATTATAGATATCTAGAATCTGGATCGTGTAATGTAAGTAACATGTTTTTAAAGTTCTGAGCAGATCAGCTTTTGAAATATTCGACTGTTTATTTGGGTGTGTAAATACTGAGAGTTAATTGACAAGATATTATAATATCCAATTGTGCACGGTTTTTTTTCAATGTCTTAAAATGATAAATTTGCGTCTAGACAATATTTGTAGATTACAGATAGTATAAAATGTCATATTTTATAAATTGTGTAAGGCTTTCATGGCTATCATTCAGCATATTATTGTTTTTCGGGCTGCTCGGCCGGCATCACGTGCGGACGGCATCATCAGGAGATGTTAACTCCTCGATTGCTCGAATAATTAATTCTTCGGGCAATCGAGGAGTGATGGCGAAAAGTCGAGAACCTCTTCTCGCTCACATCGGCCGAACGGCCCGAAAAACAATAATATGTCATAATTTTGTACGATATAACGCAGATAAGTGAATATTGTAATTATCACATAAGTCTCTCTTCTCTATTGATTATAAAAGGAGCTCGTGCAAAATTAATTCCTATAGCATGCAAAAACAATATTTATGAGTAAGTTTAACTAATATATTTCGCGTTATATACCGTTAAAGTGTTATATTGAAGAGAGCATATCGTTTTGTTTTTTAATTTTACTTTTTGTACCAATATTTCGCCAACTATAAGTTATGAGAAATATAAATTTCAATTATTCATCATGACTCAGCTTTTTAATATTCAAGAACGGAATCGAAAGGAATTGCCAAAGTATATTATGATGTAAGGGTGATTCTGCAGAACTGCCCGACTTTACAACATAAAGGAAGAATACTTTCGGGTCCCGTATTGTAATGCGATTGACACAGAAACTTATTAGTTAGATGAGAAAATGTGGACTTAATTTTAATGAAACACATTTAATGTAAAACTTATTAGAGACGTTTACCCAACGTTTCTAATGCTTTGCCACACATGACCACGGCTGCTGGTCACGTGGAAAATGCAAAAAATACTTATTAATATTGGTAAATTATATTTTGATTGGTACTCGTATACTTGCTTGGGGGTCCCGTATTTAAAAAAAAACACTTTAACGGTTTAAAACGCGGTATATAATAAAACTTATTTGGAACTTATTTTAACTACGGCCCGACTATTGTATGTAAACAAATAGACGTGTACAAGGTAATCTATGTGACATCTGTGAATCACCCCTCCAAGGCTACATTATTCAGAGGTCAGGGAAATTTTCTTTTATGTAATTAACAGTGAGTCAGTGCTATAGCACAAGGTCAAGGCTATTTCAATTACATATCAAAGAAATAAAGCCTACATTGTACCCCCATACAATCACTATCTGCTATTGCATGTATGTAGTTTACAATCATTTCAATCTACATTTATACTAATATATAAAGCTGAAGAGTTAGTTTGTTTGTTTTAACGCGCTATCTCAGGAACTGCGGGTTCGAATTGAAAAATTATTTTTGTGTTGGTTAGAAAATGTATCAGGCTATAAAACATTGCGCTGTGACTAAAGGAAGCGAAGAAACAGCGTGAAAAATGAACAACGGGGGATGCGTTTCAGATGCGTACGCTGCGAAAACGGTTCAAGATACCTAAAACATGTGTATGAAAGAATTATTCTTCTTTAAATGATCTACAAAAAGCGCTATATGTCTATCTTTTAAGCTTAACTTGCAAGAACGACGGGAAGGGACGCGAACGACTTCGTGGCTAACAGCTTAAGTTTATAAAGATGACGGGGTTTGCAAAACCTAATTTGGATGCCCAAAATAACGATTCTCGCGGACGAAGTCGCTGACACAGCTAGTTTCATATTAAAAAATTGCCTGATCTCTAATTATATTATAAAACTGTGTGACAAAAATTTGTTTTAAAACACTTTAATTTCAGGAACGCGATACCTACTGGTTCTGATTTGACAAATGATTTAAAAACGCGACGTTTCGGATGCTTTACAGCAGCCGTAGTCACGGGGAGACTGTCTCCGCCGCCGTTTTAACCCTTTAATTTTTTTTTTTTAATTTGTATTTTTCCCCAAAAACTTAAAAAATTTTTTTCCTTTTTCCAGAGAGGTATAAAACATCATGTTGCGACTATTAAGAGCAATAAAATAGTAGGAAATATGGAAAAGGCATCTTTAAGGGGGTTCCGTTTCCTGCGCTGTAAAAGCGGTTAAAAGTTCCGAAATAATATGTAAGAAAGAATGATTCTCTTTGTATATTAAAAAATGTCCGCGAATTTTATCCGTCCGTCCGGAGGTCCGTTTATATTGTAATAAAAATTTTTCGTTAAGATACCATTACATACTTTTGCCATATTAAGAATGTTTACCAGATCAGCTAGTATTGTAGAAAGTGTTTGCCTTTAGAGAATTAAAGACAAAGAAACAAAGAGATTCGTTAATTTCGTCAAAGAAGGCGAAGGCTAATAGATTGGCCTTAGTATGAGCTTCAGGGTTTACGAAATAAAATCGAGTTTGATCGAAACTTTTCTAAGCATTTTTCTTAGTTTGATGTACTTCACCATCAAACGTTAAAATTAAACCGTTTATTATGTATTATATTATAGACTTTAAACGGTTGAAGACGTGATCAGCATTTTAGGACGTAATACAGGAAAAATAATTTTATTTGGCACCCAAAATAGTGCAATAAATAATTATCATAAAAATAAGATACAAAATCAATAAGTTCAAACTCTTACATGTTTTAAGCCATAATTTGTATTTTTGCTGTCATATAGTTTTAATGTCTGTAATGTAATAATAATGTATTTTAAGATAACATTGATTTTTAATAAGCGCTATTAATTTCAATACCGACTTTTGTAGTGAAATGTTATTTGCATGTGCACGTGATTTGAACCCAAGACCCAGTAACAATAAATTGTTTCGGTTCAGGGCTCAGAAGTCTGACCAACAGCCTGAAATGTGTTTGCCCCATGCCCCACGGTTCATTTCACTTATAATTCTTTGTATAGCATTACATGATGTAAACGTCAAAACATTATTTATGGTTTGTTAAGTATAAAACTCATACTAGGCCTGCAGAAATATTTAATTATGTATCTGCCTCGATCTTTTCAGGAATTTAATTTTGTTGGCTTTTCAACTTGGTGACGCCTTAAATTGCTTGTCCCTGAATTAAATTACTCTATAGAGAATCTGTAATGAAATTGTATACTTAGTACATTTTGCATATACCATGTTATTTATTTTGTTATTCACTTCAATCTACCAACCTTCCACAATTGGGTCTCCTTTGTAAGAGCTTAGTCTAGTCACTCTTAATGTGGGTTGGCGGCCATTGATGACTACCTAACTTACGATACAATAGTACTTATTTAATACCTTCAATAACTAGTAGTTATTCAAACCATGGGGATATAACCTGCTATGTCCAGACTCTGACCTCATCAGGATCAGGATTTGAACCGAAACGAATTTTCGATTTTTAAATTATATAGTGTCTTCATGTGTAACATGTAAAAAAATAATAAAGTCTTCAAACAATTATGTATGTTCTATAATTGCGTATTAACGATAATATAAAAAACGAAGAAGCTAATATTTAATTATCTTTGGTGTTTTCGTAGTAAATAGATTGACCCAACGTAAACTGCTATTGCTGCTCTGTAGAGACTAATGTGATTTATTACAACCTGGAAGCTTCCTTTGTGATTTAATTAGATCTTACTGCAATAAACAAAATGAGGTAACTAGATGAGACTTAACGCTGTCTGTAGCTTACGCGAGTAGCACACATTTAATTTAACACTTTGACGGTTTAAAACGCGATATATATTAATTAAACTTATTTGAATATTACATTAACTACGGCTCTTTAAAAAAAAATACACCTGCTGGGAATCGAATTCACGACTAAATCTATACCAGCCGTACATTGCTACTCTTTGCAACATAAGCTGTCTGCGTTTCCATTTATAAAAGAAAATAGTTTTTATATCTGGTAACGAATTTAATAACCACTGGTGTGATAAATTATTTTAATAATTTTCTATTAAAAGCGTTTATATTTTCAACAATACAACTAAGAACTTTAGCGAGTCTCTTGTATATTAATAGCCTTATACTTAAATTAGTATTAAAAGCAACACAAAGGTAAGCAATTTGTCAAACAATTTCATAAAGCCTGCGTTGAAAGCTTCTCGCCGCTTATTAGGTTGGTGTTGTGCAGATGCAAGCGGCGATGCGCCCGACAGCAATCGATGTAGCCATGGTAACGTCGCCGCCTGCTAGTGGCTCTTAACACTGTACGATTTTTAATTAAATACGACATATAAAAATGCGATACCGTAGTCGTGTCGGCCTTGCAAAAGAAGACAAAGACGAATCAAGACACCGAATATTTTTTATCTCAAGGTGAAATAAAGAGCGATTTTGATTTTTTTTATATATTTCTAATTCAAAATTAATAGAAACATTCATTTTTTGATAGAGGAAGACGGACAAGGATGAAGTTCATTGACGCTTACTTCAGGATTTTTGTGTCATCTTTTTCAGATTATAAATTACCTTATTCAAGAATTGCGGTTTCCAAAAGCACTCATAGTGAAAACCACAGATGAAAAACCGTGGAGTATAATAGAGTTTTGTTTTCGATCTGTGGATTTCCGAATATACAAGGACAAAAAGGCTCCAGAACTCATCTTGCTGAAATATTTTATGGGGTATTTCAATTATCATTATATGACCAAAAAAATTATTTCAAATCAATTTGATTCAGTTTACACATATTATACATAGTCTTACAAGATGTTGATGAGCCATCTAAGCCTATCCGCATAAAAATATCATTTTATTGGAATTTGAACCTTGACCTCTACCGTAACGCATTCGACGATCTTTGGGCTTAGTAGAAGTTGGTAGTGTCGTATCGGAGTCGTATATTATTAACACACTTTAATAACAATATACCCACAAATGTAGTCTAAGTACCAGCATCTTCTCTCGATTCCTAACAGGATAATGTAGTTTCGCGGTTATGCTTCACTCGACACATACCACTAACAATGTTGCCTACATACTTATGGCTATGTACTACAATTACCCGGGCCACCGTTACAAGGAAAGTGTGATTTTTCATTCAGTTTTTTTAATCTGTTCTACCACAGACTATGGAATCATACAAAGATTTATCAAGATAAAAAATAAAACTAAGTTAAATTGTTTGTTTCGTTCATCGTATTTGCTGATCAAATGATCAAACCCATATCTAACATAAATATGTGTTACTTCTACATAAATCCTTTTCAAAACACGAAAACTTATTTTTCATTTATTTTAACTACGGCTTAACGATCTTGAATTCGCACGACGGGTACCATTGTCGTGTTTTAAATAAGTAAGTCGAAAATGCTTTATTTGAATGTGTAGTACTCGCTTAAACTTCAGACTATATGTTATTAAAGTTTATACTATTTCAACGATTATATTCTTTTGTCACAAAGCTTTTAACGTACCTTCGTGCTGTGCTATGGGCGGGGATAGAAGAAGACATTTAAATGGACATTGAGATGTGTTTCACACGCCTTACTACTAGTATACGTAACATGAATGCGAGTATTTGTTACCTTTAACGGAAGATATTTCATATAATGGTGATTAAAAAAAATATATCGCAAAATACTTTCCTTCTACAATAACCCGACGAAATCCTGTAAAAGCAGTTTGTGACGTTGCTTAGGCTTGTAAATCACAATATTATATTTAATAATTCAAATTTTACTTTAGTAGCAGTGATGATTCGTGGAATTACTGTTACACTATAGTAAATGAGTGTTTCCCCGATGTGTAGAAACTTGTAGCAGAAATAATACTGCCTGTTAAAAAAAATGTAGCAACATTATTTTTTCAATATTCTGCTATACCGTATTTCAAGGAGTGATTTATAAATATGTAATGAATACTAACATCGATTAGTAATTCAACTAACTTAAACCAGAAAAACTTTGTTCCCCATTAATTCATTTTCTTCTATGTTTCTCTTATTCCCGCTCAATACTGTTTATCTACTTCAATTCGGCGTTGATACAACAATAAAATTAATTAAGTTCATAATCATATCATACAATTATTTAATACTAAGCTAATTAATAAGAATTTTAATAAAAAAATATTTCTTTGATATGTTTTCTTATTAAAATAAGACATTTAAAATATACATAGTGTGTCAACAATTTATATATATTTTTTTTAATCTCTGCATATTGTAAAATATAAATGTATATATTAAAGTTTTTAAAGTTTTAAACAATCGATAAGTAGTACCCGATAAATCGTAAACCTACTGTGGAAAATATATAGTCTGTGACAAAATGGCAGCCTGACGCTAATATGAAACGTCACATTTTGTCACTTTGTGATAGTGTGGGTGTGAGCGTGCGTTTGTGAATTTTCGTGCTTTGTGGTGTTTGTGATTTGTATGTATTCGTTCCGTTGTAAGTTTAGTGACATTAAGAAAATAGGTTTTTATCAATAAAAATCTCCAAACTGTAGTAATTGGGTACGTATGATGCTAAAAACAATAAAATACAGGCGTGATTCATTTAACAATCATACAAAAGCCCCGCTTAAAGACGTGTAACCTGTTTGACAGGCGTTGGCTGTGGATTTCAGTTTGTATATTGTTATAAGTGACTTCATCTTGATATAGTTCATATTAGACGGCTTTGTAAAATTACATTAAGACTTGGGCTAGGCAGTAACACGATCGTGACAAGTCCAGCCGCAAACCGCTCGCGGGCTGCGTTACTATAAAACCTCAGTCGGCTTTTTGCTGTCTGTCGGTTCACTCGCGCGCTAATAAATCTAGTATGAAATATGGTAGGCTTGTGTCTGTCATTATGTTTTAGCAGTGTCTGTGAAGTGCGCTAAGTGATTGTCTTGTTGCAGGCCGGCAGAATGTTAAAATTCATACGCGGCAAGGGGCAGCAACCCTCTGCTGAAAGGCAGAAGCTGCAGAATGAGCTGTTCGCGTTTCGCAAGGTGAGTACTTAGTATTTACAAATAGTGAATGACAATAATGTATTCATGTGTCAGATGTTTGTATTATTATTTCTCAGATCATTGTTGCTATGTGTGTGATGGAAGTTCTTTACCATCTCTACTTAAAAAGTGCTAGAGTAGTTGTCACATATGAAAAGCTAAACACTATTTTAAATTCTAAAATGAAACAATTGCATTATATTTAGTATATATTTTTTTATAATAGTGAGTCATTTAATTAGGCTCTTCTCGAGCTCGGAAAGTTTATGCCTGGAGAAATAGATAATCTTTTTAGGCTACATTTCATATATATTAATAGTTGAATGGATTATAGATTTACTTAATCTTTAAAGAAGTTATCAACACCCATTGGACCCTTATCTATAAGGGTATTTGCACACAGATTAGATGTTTTTAACCGCTACTAATATGGGCCAGGGCCAACTTTACGGTTTGTGAAACATTTTTATTATTATCTTGTTTAAATTATGATAGTCGTTATGACTGATACCAAACAATATAAATATATGATTTTTTTATTCAAACTAGATCGCCTAGTTATACTTAATTTACTATATGTTGTACATTTGCACACACTGTACTGCACAATAGTCATAAGATTGATTGAGTACAGTGTTGAAAAATATTTTATGTATGTTTGGTAATTATTACCAAATTTGTTATTTAAACATAGGTAACATAAATTAAGTTTGCTGTTAAGAAGAACAATGTAAATAATAAGCTGTTAAAAATCTATCCGTTTTAGTAATTCTATTGGATAGAAGCAAGATTATAAAACATTGTATGTATGTATTAAGGCCTAATCGCTTTAAAAGTAATGTCTTAGCATTAAACATAACAATACTTTTCCTTACAATTGGATTTATTAATGGGATTAGATTAATATTATCTCTCCTTTTGCGCAGTCTAGTTATTGCAAATTCTTTTAATATTTCTATGTTACTTCCACTAGTTACAATAAAAACATGTCACTTGGGAAGACTACATGTATACTGAGAACGGAGTAAGAATATATTGTTACACACTAATGTCACAGTCAAATATTAATTTAGTGATGTTGAACATCAAAATTATTATTTTACTTACTATTTATCAATAATATTCTACACAAGGGTCTTTATGTTATACAAATTTAAATTAATTAAAGGTTGAGTGTTAACTTTCTTCAACAGTAATAATTTTCAATTGATAATTTTGAACAAACCTAGATTGAGAAGCATGTGTGATAATCAATTTGTTTGTTTTAATTATTTTATAGTAATGGTAGTTCCTTAAAGCCTTTATCAAATGAAGTATTCATTGTGTGATAATAGCTCTACTGTGCATTTGTTCAATAACTAACTAGTATAATATAAATATTAATTTAATACCAAATACAGTGATCACTTTAGTGATGCAGGTCGTTCTCTACACTACCAATATCAGTGCTATAAACAAAGATTACTTTTATTTGTTTCTGTCATTTATTCTCTCGTAGTAGGAAAATAGAAGTACAAATATTTTGTTTGTTTAAAACACTGTCTCTCGAGTGTCATTAAGCCGAGCGCAAACATTGGGGCCTCTTATCGGACGTTACCGATAGCGATAACGATATATAATCGATGCCTTTTTGTGCTATCACTGAAACTCCACATCTTGTATCGGTGTTTTACAATTATACAAAACATACTTATTCCTTGTTTATTCCTAAAGATATGTAAGCAGCACTTTAACTAAGAATTAATTAAAATTCTGTTGTAGTTACTTTTTAATTGTATGGTAATATCGCAGAAGTATTTAGGAACATTATTATATATTACTTTATTTAGAAATGAAAAAAATTTTGATTTACCCGACAATAATCAAAACCTAAATGACGTTTTACTTAAAATATACACTAACAAATGTACCCATGATGTCCTTATGGTATTGGACACATTTTTTGTTAGATACCTTTTTAAGTATTACCTACTCAAAGACGTGCGCAAGCTAAATCTTCATAGTATTAATATTATTTCGTTTTGCGAAGACTGTTTAGTACATGAGCCGTCGCCTAATCGAGAAATGACCAACACCTGATGATGCTGTCCACTTTAGGTAGCTAAAGAGTTTGTTAGTTTAAACATACTAATGTCAGTAACTACTGGTTCGAATTAAAAATGTTTGTTTTGCATTGATATCACACCGCGACGTATTGGATTTATGTTTACATTATAAAAATAAAACTAACTAATAAAACTCTAAGTCTATCTTATGGTGATCAAATGTAGTTGTATCGACATAGTTATATTATTCTTGCAAACAACGAAACAAGGTTTGCCGAGTTATTAAAAAAAGATTGCCTTGTATATTATCAACAAACATAGTAATGCGTTCGCCAAATGACTGATGAATTTTCCACGAATAATAATCGACATCGCGTTATCCGTTTATCTCTAGTGTATCGGGTTCTAGAGCAATAAACCGCACCTAACCTCGCCCATGCCGTAATTAATATCGATAAACCGATACAGTAAAGTCGATAAATATATTTTATTTTCTGTGGTTCCCTAGCGAATCTCACTAAGCATAAACGGATTCCAGATCGGACCCTATGCGCTTCAGATATTGTTCTGACAGTCTACTGAGGTGTGGCATCTTACATCACTTACTTGGTGTTTTATTGATAAAAGTAGCCAGTATATTTTTTCTATATGATCCCCTATCATTAAGGACAGACAATGTTTGGGTTCACTTTATCCTATATATTATTATACTTACTCAAATCAACCGACTGAAAACGCAACGCGATAAAACTCGATGGCTTCTGCATCTGTAGATGGTGGTGCGTGACCCGGGCGGAATTTCAATTTTCCTTCCACCCATCTAATATCCAAACGAAGTCCATTCATAAAAATCTTAGATTGATTAGATTGATGCACAGCTTCACCATTACACCGACGAGCTCGACAAAATTGTAATTTTAAAGTGTTATTAAAACGCGCTTAATCGTTTAGTGGTGAAAATCTATCAAACATAAGCACAAACTTTTGCAAATTAGTGTTATTAAGATTATAAAACGATAAACGATGAATATTGATAGAATCTTTCTATATACATTCGTCGATGACGCTTTAAAAATATACAACAAGCCGTATAGCTGATTCTTAACTTAACTAGGTACTCTGTACTTCAGCCCGTTATTGCTAAATAAATTATCTAGATAAGGCCCGATAACGATTCTTAGTGCTAAAACCCTTTGCGAGAGTATACTTCCTTAAGTTCATTATTAACTAGTTTTGTCCTGCGGCGTTATCGTGGTACTTTAAATACATTAATTTTATAACCGAAAAACTATATTTTTGTAATGTGAATGTAAGTTTTGTACTTGGTGACAATTAACGCATTATTTAATCGGCGAGTGCTAAAGTGCTCAAATTTCATCAATTTCGGTCATGCCAAGTGTAAACAGTTAATAATCGTCAAACATTAGTAGAGTTTTTTAGTATGTATAATTTTTTAAATATTATGGTCGGAATAAGAAAATCGAACGCAGGAATTATCCGGTTCGTTTCAAAGGCTTCACGGAATATCTTATCATTGTCATAGAGTGTACCTAGAAATGTGTGAATCACTATTCAATGCCTCGATATATAATACAAGCGGTGTCACATTTTTCTATGTTGGTACACGTATTTTAAAATTTCGTGGAAATTCCTTTAGTAACAACTGACATAATAGGATAGGGTAAAGAAATGGTACGCGATACAGTTTTGTGTAGTTTACGCGCGTAGTAAACTTTTAAATAAAACACTATTAACGGTTTAAAACGTCAATTATATTTTTTTTTTCAAAGTTTCCAATAAATTGAAGGGTTTAAACCGTTAAAAGTGGTTTATTTTAGTAGTACGTGAATTTTATCCCGTTGGATGTTTAAGTAAAGCCTTCTTTTTTATTACCAAAGCTTCTGCCTATCTGTCCATTTGTCACCTGGCTTTGACATATTTTTTTTTAAATATATTTATGTTGTCTCTAAAACAACAAATAATTTGCCCCGTTTTGTTCAGTGATGGCAACGAGGAGGTAAATAGGTCGACAACACATCGTCTTGAAATGTTATACAACTATGAATGGATATTTCACCTGCCAATAAATGATACACCAAGCTTGTTTATCATTCTCTATGATAAACTTACGTAAATGGTGTTTAGTCTAAAATATTATCTTTCAAACTAAACTTAGTTAGTAAAAATTATAAAGATAATCGCCAGTTTTGTCACATCGGATAACTTCATTAGCTTTTGGGATTAGCTTACGCTATCTGTCTTATTACGCGAGTATCATAAAAACCGTTTAAAACGATATTTATAATTTTCCCCGGCCCGCCCTTTTGGGGGTTTTTGCGGGGGCCGGGGCCGGGGGGGGCCCCCCCCCCGGCCCCCCCCCCCCCCCGGCCCCCCCCCACCTCTAAAAATCTTTTTTTTTTTTTTTTTTTTTTTTTTTTTTTTTTTTTTTTTTTTTTTTTTTTTTTTTTTTTTACGCTGTTTTAACTGGGACTAGAGTTAATCCACTTGTCTCGTTATCCACCGAGTTAATTACTATGATGCTCCAATAACTCCCACGATGTCATCGCTCAGTGTTTTCATTGTTTCAGCTTCGTTTGGGTTTATGTATTGTCTTCATATAGAGATTATTATCAAGATGTATACAAATCCGTTCAATCCAGGTATTGTGTATACGATTTTGGTTGTTGTATTTTTTTATCATTATAGGTATTAGAGCTATCAAATGCTTTTCTATTTAATTTTTTTTACAAAATTGTATACAAAAATACTATAAAAAGAATATTTTTTTGGTTCGGTCAAATGGACAGCAATAGTGAATTAAATTGTGTGCTTGCGCACCACATTTCATTCACAACAAGTCACGAATAGTTCAATCCTAATACCAATACACGGAGCACTCCGGAGTACTTGACCGCTTAATATTCATGATCTAAGCCTTTCTACTTTCTCCCTTTG